TCCATTATCTTACCACATCTAACTTATTATTGAGCCATTTGTCTTCATCCTGCAATATATGTTATTCTGTATTACGTTCATGTGGTAGGTTGGTTCCTTATCATCACCAGAGTAAGAACACTTTAGATTTTAATAAAAACAACCAAGCAAACCCTTCTTAACATGAATGATATAACAGTCTTTGCAAAAAGGAAGGAAGGAAGGAAGGGAGGGAGGGAAAAGAAAAGAAAAGAAAATACCATGAACCTATTAATAATTGGAGATGTGGATTGGACTAGTGTTATTAGCCACAGTAATGACATTTTACCCACCCACTCTCACTCTTTCACCTGATACTTGACAAGTAAAAGTATAACTTGCTTATACTTCTTATGCTTCTTATAGGTTATAACTAACCATGTTTGGTTATGGCCATATAGAATAGTATGGTCATATAGAATAAAAATAACTTGCCCACTTTCTTAGTCTGCTTGTGCTGCTGAAATAAAAATACCATAGAGTGGGTGGCTTAAACAACAAACATTTATTTCTCATAGCTCTTCCGAGTGCAGGGCAGATCCTGTGTCCAGTAAGGGTCCCCTTCCTAGCGATACATGACTGTCTTTTCAGATCCTCACATGGCAGAGATCAGAGAGGGAGGGAGCAAGGTCTCTCATGCTTGTTCTTATAAGGTACTAACCCCATTCAGTGGGGTTTCACTCTCCTGACCTGATTATCTCCCCAAAACCCCACCTCCAAATAACATCATATTGAGGATTAGCCTTTAACATGTAATTCTGGAGGGGACATAAATAGTTATCTAATATCACCCACACTGAGAGGAGACCTATAATACAGGAATGTCAACCATGTAGGGTTTTCAGAAAAGGCCGCCGAATGTTAATCAATAAAGTTTTTATAAAAGTTTTAATCATTACAGAAAAATCTCTCAAGTACACATACGCAACTATATTCACGTACTGTAGACAATCTGCATACATACAGACACACTTGTACATAACTTTTAAATGAGGCGTATTTCAAACGTATAGTTCACACATATAATCATACACAAAATCATTTCCCAAGGAAAAGAGTGTTAATAAATCAGCTAGTGAGCTTCTCTGCCTTGATCACTCTCCCTGACTCCCGGGAAAACGGTAACGAGGAGCTGAGCTAGCTGGGAGGCTAGGGTGATGCCGCTCTTGCGATGAATGGAAGAAGAGGAATGAGCTGAAGTAGGGTCGGCTGTGCTGTAAAAGGTAGAGTCAGGAATGAAATAGGCTTCCACTAAGTATTTGTTACCTAGGCAATTCTGTACATTTTCATCCCTAATATGTTCATTTCTTTTTTGCTGAAGAGTCATCTTGATTAACGGACACATGCATCCTCACTTTCAAAAATGCGAGGGCGATTAAGTCAGGCTGCGATGCCTTTGCTCACACTGATTCCCTACCTGGACCAGCTCATGCGAGTCATTCATTCCACTTGAAAGAGACTGAGCCCTCGTGGTGCGCAGGGCATGATTCTAAGTGTGGAGATGGACCATTTACTGAGACAGATAGGGTCTCTTTCATGGAATGGGGGATGAGAGATGAGAGAGGAAGTGGGAGTCAGTAACAGGCAATAAACAAGGAAACAAACTACGTAATTTCAGAGACGATAAGTACAATGAAGAAGTGAAAACAGGCTTCTCTCTCCATTCTGCTTTCCTCCCGGGACCCACCTTATCAACTCTTAACAGCAATGTTTTCCAACAACCTCCCCTGCCCAAACGGGAACAGACCATTTCCTCCTTTTACGGACCCACTGAAGCCACCTGTCCTCTCTCATGCCACTTTATTGCATTTGTTCACTGGTCTTATCTTTCCCAATGAGACTTTAAGCCCCTTTAGAGTAAAGGTCACTTTTTTTTTCTTAATGATTTTGTAGTTGTAATCCCTGGCACATATTCTGGTTTTGCTCACCACATAACATACTCAATAAATGCTAATTAACTGAACAAATCTGTTGAAGGAATACAGGAGCCATGAAGAGTAGCCTAGCAAAGGACTATTATTGCAAAATTTGAGACTTAATGACTATGTTGTGATCACAACCTTCTACAGAGATTTTATGATAGTCTCATTAGAACCATGTTCTTTTTTTTAAAAAAGATTTATTTATTTGAGAGAGAGAGAGTGCACACACATGCACCTGAGCGGGGGTGGGGGTACAGAGGGAAAGAATCTTTAGCAGACTCCCTATTGAGCGAGGAGCCCAATGTGGGGCTTGATCTCATGACCCTGAGACCATGACCTGAACCAAAACCAAGAGTTGGAGGCTTAACTGACTGAGCCACCCAAGTGCCCCTAGAACCATGTTCTCTTATTTAGTCTAGTAGCTTCTCTTACCCAGTGTGCCATTTTTAAAGAAATTACAATTTAGAATTCACATTACTAAAGCGATGTCATCCAGAAAGTGAATTGAACAAGTAGACTGTGTAGTATGAGTTAAGAGGCGAGCCCAGGGGCACCAAAGAAAGGTCACAGATTTCCTAGAACCCAGAGAATTTGCTCAAAGAGACAGAGCAGTGAACCATATTACTCAAATAGCAACACAGCACTGAAGGACTCTGGCTAAGTAATCTAAGGCCTCTTTGCAGCATTGAAAAGCATGGTGTGACCTCACAGTTGCTTTGGGCCATCCATTGGAGGGCTCTAACCAGCTCCTATCTTTATTCAATGCCTCCCAGTTCCAAGGTAGGCAGAGGAAAAACTCTTGGCATTGCAATTAAACAAAACAAAACAAAACAAAACAAACAAAAAAAACTTCTTAAGGTGATTTAGGATCCACTTGCATGATAATGGATATAACGCAGACCAGAGTGCAAACCCAACAGAACTGTGCTTCGAATGTTAATGAGAAAATGTTTTCTACTGAAGCCAAAGCAGTTACAGAAGAGTCTTACTAAAAGCTCTATTAGGAGTTACACATCAGAGTAGGATTTTATTAAGAGTTACAGTTACTTATCAGAAGCCAACTTATCTTTACAGCTCTCATGTGCTTCTCTCCACTTCCTGATGATTTGTCAACTACACAAAAAATTCTAGGAACATGGGTTAACTCCTGAGTCTCTTCTTCTAGCTTCAAAGACAGGATCCATCAAGGCAGAGGGAAACCACAAAACCAATGGAGTACATAAGCAGCAACCTGAGGTCTTCTGCAAAGTAACCAACAAACATCTGCTGTCTTTTGTGGTCACAGATGTATTTTTTTTTTTTTAACTACGATTAGGAAGTGAATTGCAAAAAGCATTTTCCATTTTTATTTTGCTAATGGAAAATCTGGACCAAAAAGTTGCTGAATCAGTGAATCTCAGACAGAATAAACATGTTATTAGAGATAAAGCCATGGGCTTTTACTGAATTTATGTGGTCTCTTCATCAAAAGACAGAAAAAGAGTTGAAATAGATCAGTAAATTAGTAAATTTGATTAATAGAACAAAGTCTTATTCTGTCATTATTCTTCCCATTATTCCTAAAATAAAAAAAAAATAACTCTTTGTCGAGCACGCACCATATTGAAGCCAATATGCCAGGCGTTTCACGTAATTATCTGATTTCATTATCCCAGCAGCAGTATGTGGTAAGTATCATTGTTCCACTTTCACAGGTAGCGAAACTGAGGCTCAGAAATTAATTTGCTCAAAATCTTATAGGTTATAAATTAAGATCCAGAATTGTAAGACAAATGTGTATGACTTTAGAATTTAAATTCTTGCCAACATATCCATTGCCTTGAGAAAAATTAATTTCAAAGATCGAACAATACCCCCCTCCCCTTTTTAAAAAAGTCCTTTAAGGAGAAGACTTGACTGTATTTTAACCCTGAGCCATCAGGATTTTCTTTTTAAAGCCTTAATTCACAGTAGTTATCTTTAAAGATTTCATTTAAATGCATTTAATTTATTTAATTAATTTGCATAATGAAGTCTGAGCATTTTTTTCTTTTTTCTTTTCCTTTTTTTTTTTTTTCCTTTTTGGAAAGAGACCTACTAATTTCAAGTGTGTTCTATTGGTCTTTCTAGCCTCATTATAAAATTGTCCATCCAGAGTAAGAGCCCATGGTGGAATTATAAGAGCTCAAACACACAGTGCGCTCAGAGCGGGAGTGACAGGTTCTGGGGATCACATAACAGGTGCTGCAGTGGATACTTAAAACATTGCACAATCAACAACAAAATGAAGTTTACTCAAACAAGTGACCTTCAAGAGAAAGGGAGGAAAAGAGAGGGTGGATGGGAAGGGCTAGACACTTGGGGCCTTAAACTAGACGTTTTATAATAACTGTTATATGTCCAACACTCTTATGCCCATCACAAAATAAACTGAAGTTATTTCCTCAAAAGTCATTCAATCTAAGCATGTTAAATATCCCTTACCATATTTGGAAGCCATTCGATTCACTCTAAAGGAATGAACACCTATCTATGTGATCTTCAACAAATCCTATTATACCAATCCAATGACTAACATTCCTCTTTTTCACAGACATGACTGCAGTCTCATGCCCCTATTTAAGATAACCACAATCACAGCTCAGTACAATTACCTAGATAGGCCTCATGGTGTGACATCCCACACCTATCTATTGAGAGAAACTACCTATTGTCAGTTTCTAAATCATTTGCTTTCTAGAGCTTCCCAGTTGTTAAATTGCCTGGAGAAGGGAGAAGGAAGGGAGGAGGACAGCAGAAAAAAATATTAATCTCACCAGGAAAAAAAAATATTCAGAATAATTCAGAATTGAGTCATTAACTATTGAAGCACATAATAGATTTTTTCCTATAATTTATGAGTGACATTTATTTTCATTTTTAAATTTTTTTTAATTTTCCTATTTACTTTATTTCCCTCCTTCCAGAGAAGATAATATTTGATTTTTCTCCTTTGCCTTAAGTGATCTCTTTGCCTGTGTAAGAGTAGGAGAACAGAGCTGGGAATTCAATAACCTAGGACTATTGATCTGTGTTGGTTACCTTGAAGTTTCTGGTTGTATTCGGTCCTGTCAGACTGGCTCCTCCTCAAGGTACCAGAGTGGTCCCCAGAAACACTGCTGTCAACCACTGTGTCAGTCTTCCTTCTCTCCAGCATATAGAGCCTGGGCCTCAAGAAGGTCAGATTCTTCTTCTTGGTGCCCATGTTCTCTTTCCCAGTGGCTTCTTTGGGCTCCATCTGAGGCAAAGACAAGCTCTGGAGACCTGTAGGCAATGGCTGTTTGTTGCAGTGCCTCGGGGTCAGAGTTGAAGCCACCAGAGTGACGAGTTTAACTGCCCCCTTCTTACTAAACGGCTTCACTCCGGGGCTACCTGGCTGTGACTGCCACCTGTACGGAGTCCCAGAGCTCCACCCCTATGAGGTCATTCTTTTTTATACCTAGAATCCAGCAGGGAAGCTGCCACCTGTTACCTGAGAGACCTGAAGCACAGAGCTAGGCAAAGCAGGGACTGCTTTGTCACATGCTACGGGAGCAAACAAAAATCCCATTGTGTGCCACAGCAGCGAGGCTGGGGGTTGGGGGAAAAGGGAAGAACAAGGTGGGGCAGGGCAGAAGGGCAGCACCTGGGAGTGTAATCTGCGGCGTGTGGGTTTAATGTGTGCCTGTGGGTGTGGACAGATGCACTGGGACACTGCGCTGTGGTTTGCTGGCTGGAGGCACACAGGGGCTTGTGTGGGACTTACAGCTAGAGTCACCCAAGTGTGACCCACAGAGTTAGTGTGGGGTAATTAGAATTCACATTAGCATCGAAACAGTGGGTACAGAATCATTTTTAAGGATTACCGTGCGCACTCAAAAGTCGTGCTTCCTCCTCAACGAACATTCTGAAATAATTTACTAACAATGTATTTGCCAAACCCCGCTCCACATTCTTGAGGAAACAAGCATTCGTATCTGAGAGGCATCTGGCAGCAGGCACTAGAGGAGGAGGACATGTCCACACAGTCCTGGGGTCTTTTGATGTCCCTTGTCCACATGTGACCCTTGCCTGAAATTCACCGTTTTATGCTCCCAACGCTGTTCTTCTCTGTTCTGCTGCTTGGGGGGGGGGGGGGGGGGGGGGAAGCATGGTGACATCAGGGTGTGATTTCTGTAAGATCTTTTCCTTTTTCCCTTTTCACAGATGGAGTGCCAGGAAATGGTAGCTCACCTTGGGAAAAGAAGGGAAGGAAAAAACGTTTGAAACTAAAGAGACATGTGGAAAGTGGAAAGGACAGGGACAGGGATTGGGAGGGAGAAATGCAAATACTGATGGGCCTTTCATTAATTTTTTGAAGTTGTGTTTCCTTGGAGTTACTGAGATTTCTCAAGGGGGAAATTTGTAGAAGCTCTGGGAATGTGCTGGGTGTTTTGTCTGCCCTTGTTAAAGAAAAGAGAGACTCTAAGAAGAAGTAAATTCTCTTTTATTATAAAGGGACTGCCAAAATTCAGCTTTGCATGGCCCCTTCTGAATCGTGGCTAAGTCTTGTTAGACAAGGTTTATAAATGAGGGAAAAAAAGATAAAAACCGTTTTCCAATTCCCAGATTTGTGTGGGCTGAATAGAATTTGCATAATTACCTTAAAAGATAAATGACAAATCTTCACCCGCTATAGAGACATCTATATATAGCTTGGCATATTGAATAGTTTTTATTTAATATAATTGATAGTCTTTTTTTAACAAGCCCTCTCAAGCACATTTAATAAATACTCTAAAAGGCATACTCTCTACTAAGATGTAAAACGAGCTTTCTTGATTCCTGTTAAAAAGTCTCACTTGTATTCTAATATTATATATACATATATGTATATAATATGTTTGTGTACATTCACCTGGTAACTAACAGATATATGCTATTCAGGTGTAGTATTACTGCAAACATGAACCATCAAAACTATAGGACTTATGGGAAGTATGTGGTTGAGGACACGGAACTCCAAAACTTTGTCAGTGACTCACAAAAACCAGATAGAAAACTATTTAAAAAAAAAGGTCACACAGTTTCACATATAATACATGGTTAGGAAATACATAGATAGTGTAATAAATATGGCACTTAATATTGAAACAGAACTGAAGGATACCTGTGGAAGTGGGCTTTAGAAGGGTTACGGTTTATGGGTCAGGAAAGACGCTACATGCGAAATCAGATGGAAATGGACACCAGCAGATGCGGTTGAGCATGGCTCACAGCCCAGGCAGCGATCTGAGTGAGGTCACTGGTAATTTTCAGGGGTGTCCATGGATGAATTTTGTGTTTTCCTTTATGGCTCAGGGCATCTGGGTACAGTTTTCTGCATTCACCTAATGTTTTAAGGGGTGAAAATCACACATCAGCAAAAGTGAGACTGTGTTATGCCCAAACAGTTCCCCAAGGTATCAGTCTTGTTGGAACCAACTTGTGTTTTCCTCACAAGCATTATAGCAGAACTGACTGTACTAGCTCTATTGTATTTTGGGATTTTGTCAATTGAAAAGATATATAATATTGCTACTATGGATTCGGTAGTAAATATATATTTTGTTTTTTTAATAAAAGTTTCTATGTCAACTTTAAAAATAATACTGCCTTTTAATCAGTCAACCAATGAAGCAGACAATGTGATTTGCTTTAATTTTCATCCTAGCACATTCTACCCCCGTGGCATGCAGAATTAGGCGTGGTCAATCATAAGGATAACTTTGTTCCCTATTTTTCCAGGCTCTCTTGCTGCTAGGGTTGGCCATATATTCCCAGGCCTGGCAAATGAGACCTCCGGGGCAGTCTGCTGGAACAGAGGACAGTTTGTTGATTCTGGGGAAGCTTTTGGTTCTCAGAGCCATCACAGCTGGCTTCAACCTTCCCCTTTCGTCTAAACTTGATCTCACAGTGCAGTCGCAACCACCCTGTGTCCATGAGAAAAGACCAAAAGAACTATGAGCTTTGATACCACTGAGCTACTGAACCAACACTAGCAGCCAACTACCTGTAGACTTCTTGCTATGAGTGTAACATAACACTCTCTTCTTCAAACATTCTTTGAGTTTTTGTTGGGAATACATTTCTAATGGATGCGACGGACATACAGTGTTTGATTGTCTGCATATAGATTCATGGTTCTCCCGCTTATCTCTGCATTTTTTTAAGCTAATGTGTTTAGAAGCTCTCAGAAAACACAATTTAGTTTTTCTGGCAATGAGTGAAGACAGGTTAGAGAGATTCCGAGTGTTTCATCACTGGAACATTTTGCTAGAATGTGAGTGAGACTGGAAGACAAGGACCCTGACTTGTCTGAGTTTTATACTTTAAGGCAGAGGTAAAAAAGTATTTCAGTGCAAGGATTTCATATTATGTAAAAGAATAAAATATTGATATTAAGACATTTAAATTAACCTTTAACCAACTGAGCCACCCAGGTATCCCATGATACTTAAATTAATTTTATTGGAAGTAAAGAACAAGTAGTTCCTGGTTCATTATTTTAAAAAGCACTGGACAGTGAATTCAAGATTCAGTTTTAGTTTTGGCTATGACATAAATCATCTTGATATTACAAATGTCATAATCTCTCTAGGTTCCAATTTCTTCATCTATAAAATGTAAGGATGAGGTAGCCATTATGCTCTTCACTAAATATTTACAGTTTTCCATTTAGGCACATGGGACTATTGCACTGCCTTGCACTCTTGTAATTTAAATGTGGTCATGGAACTTGCTTTGGCCAAAGAAACTGACTAAAAGTGATATATGTCACTTCTTGGAAAGTGTTAAGAACCAGTGTGTGATTGGCTATAGGTCTCTTGCCCTCATTTATGATGATGGGCAAGAGTCCAGGCAGTGGCTGCTCTATCAGGATGAGTCCTAGGATGAGGATGGCTTAGAGCAGAGCCCCCCAAACATCCCATAATGATTGTGTAGTTTGAGCATGAAAGAATTCTTTGCTGCTTTAAGCCACTGGGATTTCAGGCTTTTTAAAAAACTACATCAGCATAACTTAGACTATTCTTATTGCTGTAGGGTGTAGATTAAAGATACACACATCTTGTTCAGGTCCAGCATTATGTGATTTCTGGATTCTAATCCCAGGGCGCTATCAGGTTAGAAAAGTCCCAATTCCAAAACAGAAATAATATCTCTTGAATAATGTGATGAATAAATTGGATTGGAGGAAGGAAAGGAATTTATTATAAGTAAGGAATTCATTGTAGGAGTCCAGGTGAGAAATGCTTGGATTAAGATAGTGGCGGTTAGAGATAGAGAAAATTTGATGAATTCAGGTACGTTTTAAAAGTTGAACTAATAGAATTTGTATGTGAGGTAGAATTTGATTGAGGTAGATGAGTAAAAAGAGGAGTGAAGTTAAATTCCAGGTTTTAAGATTAAATAAGTGGGAGGATATTGGTGCTGTGTGCTACAACAGGAAGGAAAAAGACAAAAGAGGTAACTTGGGTAGGGTTGTCAAGAACTCCACTTAAGATGCATTAGCATTAAAATGCCTGTGAGATATTCAAAAGAAATGTCAGGTAGCCTTTGAATATATAAATTTGGAGTCACTATTTAGATTTTAGCTTAAAAAAAACCCTGGTCATCAGAATATACATACCATTTTTTAAAAAGATTTTATTTATGTATTTGAGAGACAAGAGCAGGAGTGGGGGCAAGAGGCAGAGGGAGAAGCAGACTCCCCGCTGAGCAGGGAATCCGACATGGGGCTCGATCCCCGAGATCACAACATGAGCGGAAGACAGCAGATTAACTGATGGAGTCACCCAGATCCCCTAAACATACACACTATTTAAAGTCAGGGATGGATGAGACTATTAAGAAGGAAAATATATCCAGAAAAGAGGGACCGAAGTCAAACCCTGAAGAACAGTAAGTCTAGAGGTGGGGCTGGAGGAAAAGCCAGCACAGAAGGCCACAGGGAACAGCCACTGAGGTGGGAGAAACGTGGGAGAATGTGGCATCACAGGACTGGAGGCAGCTTTTTCTAAAATTCAAGAGTGGTCAGATGGCTGAAAAGCAAGACAAAATGAAAATGCAAAATAATTCTTTTAATTTGGCACAAAGTTGGTCATTTATGAACTTTTCAAAATGAGTTTCAGTAAAGTGGTAGAGGTAGAGTCCAAACGAAGGGAAGTAAGTGGGGGTGCCTGGGTAGCTCAGTGGGTTAAAGCCTCTGCCTTCAGCTCAGGTCATGATCCCAGGATGCTG